GTTTTGTTTGGAATTGTTGAAATTATTTATTTATTTATTTTTATTTATTTTTTTGTTTTTTTACTTAATGTTGTTAATTACTTTTTTTTACATCAGTGTCATATCTCTGATTGCATACATGTTTTGATATTTCGGAAAACAACACTTTTTGTGTAAAATCATGTCATGGTGTCATATTTTATAAATGTCTTAAACAAAAACATAGATGTTTTTGTGCTTTTTTTAATTTTTACCTAAAGACATTCTGAAGGCTTCATCAGTCTATGCCTTTGGACTTTCACTAAAAATTGGCAAGCTCACGTTTCATTTAACCTCCTAGGGCATAGTGGCCACATACGTGGACAGCACATTTTAGCGCTTAATTTGACTATTTAAAATACTTTGAATGTTTTATGTTTTGTTACAGACATAGAGTCATCCTGCAACTGTTTTGCACCATATGAAATGTCCCAAACACTATTTTTAACTGCCCAAAATGGGCATAAAATTTTGTTTTTACTCTCTGATAGTCAAAACATGTTCCATTAAAAAGTATACGTTTTATATGCATTACAGTCAGAAAAGGTGTTTTATGTAAATTCGGACCAGTTTTTCTCTAAAAGTACATCAAATCAAAAGATGACACTTAAGTTTTCATTCTAAGTAGGTTTCAATAAGCCTAAATAGCAAAGAGAAATAAAAAAAAATGCATGTAAAAAAACTCCTCGGGCCTTAAGAGGTTAAACCGCAAATGTAAAATATTATCATTCATAATAAACTTCACACATCTCTACTTTCACAATAACATATGCATTAGGTAAACAAGTGGGGTCAAGATCTCAATAATTAAGGTGGATCTGACATAATTCACTTTTTTTCCTTAATTCATTAGTTCCAACTATTGCAAGATTTGTTTTACGCAGTGGATGCCCTTCCAGATACAACCCAGTGCTAAAAACACCTGTACACTCTCGCATTTACACACATAAATTCATGTACTAAAGCCAAAGATCATCCAAATGACCTATAGAGCATATCTTTGGACTGTGGGAGAAACCGGAGTACCTCGAAGGAAACATGCAAACTCCACACAGAAATGCCAACTGACCAAGCCGGGACTCCAACCAGTGACCTCCTTGCTGTGAGGTGGCAGTGCTAACCACTGAGCCACCGTGCTGCCCTAAAACATGTTTAGTCTAAACTAAAAAAAGACTAAATAGAGCATAACAATGACAGGGATGTTTAAACCATGACTGAATGTGTTGTAAAACAAATGATAATTGCAGTCACTGGCATGAGTTCAACAAATAAATAGAGCAAATTGCGATGACCGCAGATGCATATTATTTAAATAACAACGGGAACACTTCTCAGCGCAGACGATTTGAAGTCTGACAGTAATTGTTCTGAAATGTATTGCAGAATGTGGTGAGTTTGTTACACAAACAGTGCTTTGATGGCCACAACGGTGCTTTTAAAAGGGTAACTTTAATTGCGAGACTCAAGTTCTCAGACAGGGGTTTATCATGCTGAGACTAGCACAGCAGGCTAAAACCGTTTTTGAAACATTGCTTCAAACAAAAGGGATTTTGAAAAGAAACAGATTAGGAATGACGCACATATGTTGCTCATGGTTAATAGAAACCACCTAATTTGGCAAATCAGCTTATTTACTGTAGAGTGCATTAGTCACGTACACTTATTACAGCTGTGCTTGTTCTGGAAGTATTTTCTCATTCTTTTTTTTTTCATTTAGATGTAAAAGTTTATATTTTTAAGTCTTTGTTAGTGTTCTAAGCCAGCAAACCATTATATGAAGAGGGTCATGACATTGCAAACTAGTCGAAGCAACAAATTCTATGAAATTCAGACAAAAAGACAAAGACTTTTGTACTTACAACTGTAACGAGGACAAGAACTACAATCCATTCAAGCATTGGGATATTTCCCCTGTGATATTTCAAAATTTACTTAATGTACGTAATCTAAAAACTGCATGCAAGGTTAAAAAAACTATTGTAATAATTAATACATTATTATTGTGATAAAATGTTAATAATATAATAAGTATCTCAAATAATAAAGTAATAATATATATATATATATATATATATATATATATATATATATATATATATATATATATATATATATATATATATAGGCCCATAAAGGCAAGCTCAAGAAAATCAAAGCCTCATACTTGAGAGAAGAATGAAGGCCTGAAATTTACCAGTAGGAATTGCCATTCCTTCATTCCAATTGAAGGAATGGCAAGGAAACGGCTTGTAGAAAAGGTCACTGAAGAGGTGGAAGCAACATCTCGCTGAATTTGGCAACAAAGGGAGGTTCGGTGGAAAAGCCATCCTGTTGAAAGACAAACCATATCATAGAGTTGGGTGGTGGTCAGCAGGAGTAGATTCAGGATGCTGGATCTGCTGTCAAGCCCTGCCGAGGTGTCATGGGCTTAAATCGGTGAAACACCAAAGAAAGAGGGGTGCCCATCTGATGACAGGCTGTAATCCCTAACTCCCTAACTGGTGCTGAAGGGAGAAAGGAGGGGGGGAATTATGACACTGGCCCACAGTTGGTGCAGGGCAGACTACCTGTAAAGGTGGGCCAGCTGCGATGGTCCCATCGTATTTTGCAGATAAGGTATTACAAAAGTACTGTATTAAACTGAAAAAAAAAAGTTTTTCTTATTTTGTTTTTTTATTTTGTTTTTAGGCCAAATATCAAAAAAACTCTTAAATCAAGAAGCCATGTCAAAACACAGCCGAGACATTACACCGTAATAATATAAACATATAATAATGAGCCATGGTTGATCCGAGCTCAAACAAACTTTGTCGTTGTCTTGATGAACAGCCGGAAAGCCAAGAAGAAGAGCAGAATCTGCCGTGTCCTGTTGTTGTTTACGAGGCCGTCTAAAAGCGCGAGTGGTTTTACTTACTTTATCTAGAGAGCTATTTGAAATAACAAACTTGAGCTCATAATAATAATAACGTGCGCATGATTATTAAAGTGCTCTGGCATCCTTTCAGAAATGGATAAACGGCAGAGTAAAGCACGAAAAAAAGGAGAATTAAACTGATGTTTAATTATTTATCATCGCTTTTTGGACTATCATGATCTTGGAAGGACGGAATAACTTTTTAAAAAGATGTTAACGTTACATGTGCTGGTGAAGATTGAAGATAAGAGGTTTGTACTGACTGTACAGTATGTTTCATATCGTTTATAAACCCAAATAAGGCCTATAAGTGTAAGTTTTGGGTAGTTTTTATTTGTAATTGGTAACATTTCAGAGACTCTAAGTCTCAGTATGTGTTCACAAATGTTTTATGTATTTATTTTTTTATTATGTTGTATATATAATTGCAGATGTTACAGTAGGCTATTTCATGTTATCATTGATCCTTAGCTATAATCAAATCGTGTTCATAGATCTCATACGAACTTCAAGCGAGAATGACATCGACGACAACTTTATGTTGAAAGTGGAGGGGAGACCTTAACCTGATTAAGGTGCCATACCGTACCAAACTGTACCACTTAGTGGAAACAAGACATAAGGTGTTTTTCTGTTGATTATATTTGGAAATGTATAATATATTAATGTTTTGTGGATGTGAAATGTAGACACAACAAATGTGGGCTGTAGAATTGCTCTTCCTGTTCTTGTGGAAAGTCAAACCTTTTGTCATTGTAAAAATGAGAAAAAAATACAAAAGGTATGATTCACTCACCCTCGTTCCAATTCAGTCTTGCAACTGAAACTCTTAAAAAGACTATCTTAATTTTAATTTTTTATAAAGTTACAAAGATTTTATGTTGAGGCTTCAGAAAGCATAATTATTTTTTCAAGTCTGAAATTGTACAGCAACTTTGTGTGAGAAAATATTGAAATTAGGCAACCATAGTATTGACATCTGTACTAGTTTTACTTGGCAGGTTCATAAATGATTCACCCTTTTGAATCCAATCATAAATGAAATGAATCACAACCAGTCTAAATGAATTGCTTAGTTCCTTAGAATTTAATATTTGTTTTGGTATACATAAGGTTGACTGAATGATGACACTGTTTATTTTTGGATTAACTATACAGTACATTTAAGACGAATATCAGTCAATGCTACTTTGTAAATGGTTCACACTTTGCTCGTTCACTCTCCATTTCCTGCAGACGTTCTCACTTTTTCTTCACATTGTGGCTTTGTTTTTATTAAATGTATTTTTGCTATAGTGATTAAGTTTATGATGTGACGTTTGTTATATTAAGTGGATGAATTAATGTTATATGTGTTAAAACATGCTAGCAGCAGCTTGTCCGTGTTGTGTAAAAAATGCTAACTTGCTAATTAATTCTTCTAAACATGAGAAATATTCTAGAAATATTAAAATTTGTGATTGTTATGAGCTTAAAGAAACATGCTAGCAGCATACTAAACCAAGGTAATAACAGCTAGTATGAAGTAGCCATGTGCTAAAAGCTAACAATAGGCTAATATGAAAAAATGACTTTAACAACATCACATTTACTCTGTTCTGTAATTTCCGAGTTTATAATGTGGGTTTTATAAAAAGTGTTTGTGAATTATTGTGTTGTTACATCACATTGTGCCAAATTGTTAAACCTTCTAGCAGCAGCTAACTTGTTAATGTTGTGTAAAAATGCTAACTTGCTAATTTATTCTAGCAATATGCTAAATAAGAGAATATTCAATTTCATGGTGCCTAAAAAAACATGCTTGCAGCATACTAAATCAAGGTAATAACAGCTAGTATGTGTTAGCCATGTGTTGAAAATGCTAGCAGTAGGCTAACAGATTACCATTTAAGACTGATATCGAACCCTTTTAACTCTAATGGTGTGTCACACTTCACTCATTCTCTCTGTTTCAGACATTCCTACTTTCTTGACATAATTTCTTTGGGATGCGGTTTTCATTTAATAAATGTGTTTGTGTGAGTAATGTGTGTGTTTTGAAAGGTATGTGTGTGTGTTGTGTCTGTAGCTCTGCAGAGTCGGAGGAGCTGGCGGTTCATCTGTACCCAGGAGCCGTCACCGTTCAGGGCGTCTTACGCAGAAAAACAGTCCTAAAGGAGGGCAAGAAACCCACGGTGAGGGCAAACTCTTCATTAGTCATCTGTACTTATATTTCATCTGAACTCTCTTACAGCTCACTCTCTTTTCCTTTGTTATAAAAGGGTGGAATATTCAGTTATCTCACATTCTATGTGTTATCTGACTTTTGATGAATGATATTGTGGTAAATTATGCGATTTAGGATTTCAGGGGGTCAAAATATTCAGGGGGTTTAATATTATTTGACTTGTAAATTTTTATTAGTATTATATATTTTAAGAAGTTATTGTATGTTATTTGTACTCCCTGATGTCTTGTCATCGATCCCAGTCGAAAGTGCAACAAATAATAACTTGATAATTTGGAAAAAAGTGGCAGAAGGTATTTTTCCCATGAATCATCTGTTAAACTGCATCCCAATCATCACAATTACTGCAGAAGACCTATTGGAACCTGCATGGATCCGAGATTCTCACAGAAATCAGTCAAGTTTGGTAAATGAAAAATCATGGTTTGGGATTACATTCAGTATGGGGAGCATGTGAGAGATCTACAGAGTGGATAGCAAAATCAACAGCCTGAGGTATCAAGACATTTGGCTACCCAATACATTACAAACCACAAGAAAGGGAAAATTCTTCCAGGATTGGCCATCCCAGTCACCAAACATAAACATTATTAAGTAAGTTATTTTTCTGGGGTAAGATGAAGGAAGAGGCATTAAAGATGAATCCAAAGAATCTTGATGAACTCTGGGAGTCCTGCAGAAATGCTTTCTTTGTTATTCCAGATGACTTTATTATTAAGTTAAGACTTTTGTCTAAGCAAAGTCACACCTTACCGTCATAATTAAATAATTAAAAATTAAGGCATGATCATATTTTATTTTGGTAAAATAAGCATAATCTAGAGGCTTTTGCCTTTCATATAAGCCACTTCTAATACTAAATGATCAACTAGAAGTCAAGTTATTATTTGCTGTTCCTAAAACTTGGATAGGCCATAAGACTTTTGTCACGTAGTGTACATATATTAAAAACTACAAATTGTAATAATTTCACAATACTGTTTTTTTAAAACTGTATTTTGATTAAATGAATGAATTTAAAGTATAATATAATAAGTATAAAAAAGTCAATTATTATTACAAGTTAAATGAATTGATTATTTAAATCTTTTTTAATGTTTATATATATATATATATATATATATACGGCTTATAGCCGTGATATATTTAAGTAATATCAGCACCTGTACAGGCTCTTTCCCCTTTGTGTATTACTCCGCCCACTTACACCCAGCAAAAAGCAGACACTACAGATCTAAAGTTTAAAAGATGCTTGCTCAGCTGTTTAACTGCGATCCAACGCGGAAGACAGTAGTTCCTCATACAAAAGGGTTTTTGAAACTCTCCACGTTTGATTTTCTTTTTATATACACAATTATGCCGTCAAACTGTTGTATAACGCAATATCACACTCGTAGCAGTACGATATGGCTGTATATCGGCACTGGTGGGGGCACTAAGGCACGCCTCCCACCAGTGTCGATATACAGCCATATCAAACTGCTACTCGTGTGATATTGCTCATATATATATATATATATATATATATATATATATATATATATATATATATATATATATATATATATATATATATATGTATGTGTGTGTGTGTGTGTGTGTGTGACAGGAAACCTGAATTAAATTTCTTTTAAAGTCAAGATCAAATCTAGATAGATCAAGATTGCAAATCATTATTATGCATGTTGAAATTGCCTAATATTAAAGCAATGCATGACAGATTTATTATTTTTTTATTACTGTATTTTTAACGCTTTAATGATTTACATTTATATAAAATAGTCACACTTAATTTTTTATTCAATTTTGAATATAAACAACCATTACCTATAATTTTTACTACTGCTTAATAATAGTATTATTATTATTAATAGTTTAGGTAGGATCAGGAATGTAAAATAAGATCAGGCAAAATATGTGACCAACACTAACTAACAAACAGCCAACGTCTTAACAACAGACAGTTAATCAGCCACTAGTTAACAGTGAGAATTAGCACATAAACTAAATTATTACCTACTATTGAAATCTCTGTCTTTAACTGATTTATTTCACCAAAAAAAAGTATTCCTTAAAAATACATACACAGTTGAAGTCAGAATTATTAGTCTGCTTGTTTATTTTTCCCCAATTTCTGTTTAATAAGGAGAAGATTTTTTTCAACACATTTCTAAACATATTAGTTTTAAAAACTCATCTCAAATAACTGATTTATTTTATGTTTGCCATGATGACAGTAAATAATATTTGACTAGATATTTTTCAAGACACTTCAACACAGCTTAAAGTGACATTTAAAGGCTTAACTAGGTTAACTAGGCAGGTTAGGGTAATTAGGCAAGCTATTGTAAAATAATGGTTTGTTCTGTAGATTATCGAGAAAAAATATAGCTTAAAGGAGCTAATAATTTTGTCCCTAAAATGGTGTTTAAAAAAAATAAAAACTGCTTTTTATTCTAGCCGAAATAAAACAAAAGAGACTTTCTCTAGAAGAAAAAATATTATCAGACATACTGTAAACATTTCCTTGCTCTGTTAAACATAATTTGGAAAATGTTTAAAAAGTAGAAAACTATTCGAAGGGGGCTTATAATTCTGACTTCAACTGTATTTACACAAAAATGTCAAACTAAAGATTGTCATTAGTATAAATTTTTTGAAACTAGTTTGCTTATACTGGATCACTGCTCAGTGTCCAATATACTGTAAAATCAGAACCAGTTGTTAAGTTTCTCTGGTGTTTTTCCTCAGTCTCTGTCCTTAAGTCTCCTCTCCTCTGCCCTCTTCATAATCTGCTCTTTTATCTTCTGCTCTACAGTCTCTCTTAACTGTCAGTCATTTCTCCATTAGCCCCATCAAACCCAGCGGTTTCCTCCAAGAAGGAGCCAAAGCCGTAAAAAAGAGTGCGTTACAGTCCGGTAATGGGAGCTGAGAGGCCTTTAAAAACCCACATCTCCTGCTCACATCTGATCTGACTCTAAATCTCAGTCTTTCTAGAGCTTTTACTCCTATATATACACGTACATCGGCTGGATATTTGTACAGTTTTGGCTCCGTTTTCTTACATAGGGATTAAGGATATGAGTGAGAATGTCATTGGGGTTTAATCTTGATCAATATGTTCAGATTCAACTTGGCTTTTCTTTTTGTGTTGTGCTTGTGAGGAAATATCTCTCACACAAGCTAGGCCAACTCGTTTTTATGTTTCATCCATGAAAATAAAGCACTCTTGTAGGTTTCCTTTAAATCTGCAGATCATGAGAGTTTTAGAAATTAAAATTTGATGGTCATTTATTCACTCTCAGGTCATGCAAACTGTTGGTGATTTTCTTTTTTTTCTTTTTTTTTCTTTTTCGGTAAAACATTGAAAAAGATTTTGGGCTCTATTTTGACGGTCCATGCGCAGAGCGTAACACGCAGGGCGCAAACGCTTTCAGGGCGTGTCAGGACGCGTTTTTGCTAACTTAAGGACGGGAAATCTGCCTTGCGCCAAGGTGCATGGTCTAAAAGGGTTGAGTTTATTTTCTTAATGAGTTATAGGTGTGTTTTGAGAATAAACCAATTAGAGTCTCATCTCCCATTCCCTTTAAGACCCAGCTGCGTCGCGCCATAAGCGCATTCGCTATTTACAGGACGCAAAGTAAGTCTAAGTGAAAAAAATGAGCATTTCACAAGCAAACAGTTAACAGTTGACAGTTTTTTTAAAAGAAAACTGTTAAACAGAGCATCTACTGCGTGAGAATGAGAGATAAATGATCTACTTTCACATTCGTTCTTGGATAGGGAAACCTTTACGCACAGACATCAATTAGCCTATAAATAATTAATTTCGTTTGTTAAGCGCAAAGATTTGTTTCAAAACTATTTCTAAATTCAGTTTTAATTTCTAGCAAACGAATAAATAAACAATAATGACCAAGTGTGGTCAAAATACTGAGTTATTTCCTAATACACCTGCCATGCCCCATATGGTCTAAAACCTGACAGGTGGGCAAATCTAAGCCTGTTTTTAATAAAACAAATATAAATATGGATATATTAAATAATACTGCTAATAATAATACCATTATACAAAAGCAAATTGTTATGAATGAACTGAAAAAGCCTCCCGAGATGAAGAAGACATAAAAGCAGTGATTTTTCATATTTATGTAGGCTGGAAAATAATAGGTTTTGTAATATTTTAATCCTGTATATTTATATCCTATATCTATTCTTATTATATCCTATATATATCCTTAATTTTTAAATTTTTTCATATGTAAAGATATTTGCCTATTGCTCTCTTGTGCGTATTAAGCTGTGCGTAAGTGAGGCGCAACTCTGCACCGGAGTTTAGACCGGGTTAGTTTTGGTCTAATGAAAAATCTATTGTAGTTTCTCAAAATAGCAACACGCCAGCAGTCCACCTCAGAACGCCTTCCTTTTTAGACCAGAACGCCTGTGGGCGCACAAATGAGCGCTAATGCATTTGCCATTCAAACAGCGTAGCGCAACGCCTCAAAACGACTCTTGCGCCAAGCTGAAACTACCAAAAGACTATTGCGCCGCGCCTTGCGCCACACTGCGCCGGGTGTATGATAGGGCCCTTTGACTACTACCTGTTGCTCAGTAGTGTAATAATGAATATGATCTGTTTACATATAATCATTTGGCATACACTTTTTGTTCAAAGTGACTTATAAATACGATATACACGATCAAAGCAACAAAAGGTTTGTTAAGTTATGTTTATTATAAAATTTGAACATTGTATGTAAACCCTCAATGCATCATTTGTCGATGCTGTGGATTAAAGGTAACAATGTTGTAAACAAATTTCAGTTTCTTGCTCAGGCCAATTGTTTCGCTTCATAAGACCTCAATGTGTCATTAGAGTATGACAGAGATATTTGTTGATTTAGCTGAATATGTTTTTTGGATTCTCAAAATGCAAGTATTGACCTTCATTATGTGGGACCATGATTTCGGCCTAAGACTTTTATTTCAGTATGTTGATTCCATTCATTCATTCCTTTTCTTGTCGGCTTAGTCCCTTTATTATTTCTGGGGTCGCCACAGCGGAATGAACCGCCAACTTATCCAAACTCCTCACAGAAACGCCATCTGAGCCGAGGTTCGACCCAGCGACCTTCTTTCTGTGAGGCGACAGCACTACCTACTGCACCATTATGTTGATTCCAACTGAAATGTAATATTGAGTAGGGGTGGGGATTTATTTTTGCATATCATTCTCTCATAGCAAATTAATGGTAAAAGGGGTGTGGTTAAAAAAATACATTGTGGCTAAAGATGTCGTAAAAGGACCTCCACACCAAATGTGTAAGCAAATATACAGACTTCGACTGAAAACAACCTTTTTTTTCCTTCATTGGATTAACTTGAATGGATTAATTGTTCACCTAAAGAATAACAATGTGCGCTCGCAAAATAAATTTAGATTTAACACATGCTTTAATGCTCTACTGGTGAAAATAGCCACCTACTACTGTACACCTTGAATGGCTGAGAGGGAGTAAAATAACAACTGATTTTTATTATTTTGTGTGAACTATCCTTTCAACTAAGTTGAGTGGTGGATCGGTATTCATATTTCTCTTTGGCTCTGCTGTGAACATGTAGTCTTTGTGTAAGTGAGCTTCTGCAAGGAGACTAATGTGGAGTGGCTGTTGTTTTTCTTGTGTTGTCTGTAGGTGGCAGCCTGGACTAAGTATTGGGTGGCTCTTTGTGGTACTCAGCTTTATTATTATACTGCCAAGTCCCTCAAGGCCACAGAGAGAAAACATGTGAGTCTCCTCGCATTTCCACAGACACGAGCACACATTACACTTTTACAAATATGTTACAGCTCATTCAGGAAAAGAGCTGAGGGAGTTTTAAAGAGGTCATGAAATACCTGAGTATTTTTTTTTTTTGTATTGTTCTCTGAGGTCTACTTATAATGCCATAAAGATTTTTACATTCAAGAAAACATCAATATTTGTAATGAATTGATTGTTTTCTGTGCTATTTTTGACACTATAAGAACGCTCTGTTTAAATAGGCGTGGCTGATTGTAGAGCGAGAAGTAAACACCCACTGCTTTTATTGGCTAATGATTTTGCATATTAATGGGCTTTCAGGGCAAGTGAAGTATTCTGTGGAGGTGGGGCTTATCCTCCCTATTACATCATAAAGTAGAATATTCCAAATGTTTGGACGATCTGATTCTGATTTTCTCTGATCGACTTACATATATTATAGGACACCAAAACTGATTTAGGACATGCAGTAGGGCTTCCCTTACTGTAATATACATAAAACATTTACATTAAAATTTTAGAGTCTAAAGATCTTAAGTTCTGAAATTTAAAATATGTTTTAAAATATAGTGAAATTTTAGTTTGCTCAGTTCATGAGAACTAGCTTAATAAGCCTTTTAAGGACTATTAAGAGGTTCTGCAAGGCTCCATCTACATTTTAATGTGTGATCTTGTTGTTTAAGCTCAAAAAAGATCTGCAAAAGCACAAAATCTTTGTTTATGAGGTTCCTAAAGCACCTTGAATTTATTTGATCTATGATATAAAACTTACTTTAGTGATGTGTAATCTGACAATCTGCATTCAGTGTGCTTAATTTGTGTTTTTGAGCTCATTAAACTGCTAATCTGGGATTGACAAAACTTAAAAATTGTTGTTGGGGTTTCTGAGGTGCATTCTCTTCTAGAAAGAGAGAATGTGAGAATCAGGTCATTTGCTTTTGAAGAGAATGGAAACAAAGCATTTTGGTTTCCACCTAAAAAGGGACATTTATAGTGTAATGTAATAAAAACATCTGCAGGGTTTGTTTTTATTATTTGAAACTACATTCTTACTCATCTTGAAAAAGGTCATAATATTATTAGTTTTTTAATAAGAAATTATTAATGTAATGTGTTTTTTAATTGAAAATAATATTAGAACATAATTAGTAACTAGTGATAGTTAACTATATTAGATAACTTTATTAGAACTACAGTGCATCCAGAAAGTATTCACAGCGCTTCACTTTTTCCACATTTTTTATGTTGCAGCCTTATTCTAAAATAGATTAAATTAATTTATTTCCTCAAAATTCTACACACAATACCCCATAATGACAATGTGAAAGAAGATTTTTTTTTTTTAAATTACTGCAAATTTGTTTAAAATAAAAAACCTGAAAAATCACATGTACATAAATATTTACAGCCTTTGCTGTGAAGCTCTGAATTGAGCTCCAGTATATTCTGTTTCCACTGATCATTCTTGAGATGTTTCAGCAGCTTAATTGGAGTTCATCTGTAGTAAATTCAGTTGATTGGACATGATTTGAAAAGGCATACGCCTGTCTATATAAGGTCCAAGGGTTGACAGTGCATGTCAAAGCACAAACCAAGCATGAAGACAAATGAATTTTCTGTAGACCTCCGGGACAGGATTGTCTCGAGGCACAAGGCTGTGGAAGATTACAGAAACATTTCTGCTGCCCTGAAAGTTCCAACGAGAACAATGGCCTCCATCATCTGTAAGTGGAAAATGTTTGGAACCACCAAGACTAGAGCTGGCCGGCCATCTAAGCTGAGTGATCAGGGGAGAAGTGCCTTAGTCAGGGAGGTGATCAATAACCTGATGGTCACTCTGTCTGAGCTCCAGCATTCTTCTGTGGAGAAAGGAGAACCTTACAGAAGGACAACCATCTGTACAGCAATCCACCAATCAGGGCTGTATGGTAGAGTGGCCAGATGGAAGCCACACCCCAACTGGAATTTGTTAAAAGGCATCTGAAGGACTCTCAGACCATAAGAAACTAAATTTGCTGGTTTGATGAGACTAAAATTGAACACTTTGGAGTGAATGCCAGGAGTTACTTTTGGAGAAAACCAAGCCCCGCTCATCTAATACCATCCCTACAGTAAAGCATGGTGGTGGCACCATCATGCTGTAGGGATGTTTTTTAGCAGCAAGAACTGGAAGACTAGTCAGGATAGAGGGAAAGAATGCAGCAATGGACAGAGACATCCTTAATGAAAACCCGAGTGCTCTTGCCCTCAGACTGGGGCAACGGTTCATCTACCATGCAGGACAAAGCACACCACCATAATATCAATGGAGTGGCTTCACAACAACTCAGTGAATTCATTGAGTGGCCCAGCCAGAGCCCAGTCGTAATTTCTATTGAACATCTCTGGAGAGATCTGAAAATGGCTGTACACTGTCGCCTACCATCCAACCTGATAGAGCTTGAAAGGTACTGCAAAGGGGAATGGGCAAAAATTCCCAAAGACTGGTGTGTCAAGCTTGTGGCATTATATTCAAAAAGACTTGAGGCTGTAATTTGAGCAACAGGTGCATCAACAATGGATTGAGCTGTAAATATTTATGTACATGTGATTTTTCTGTTTTTTTATGTTTAATAAATTTGCAACAATTTACAAAAATCTTTTTTTTTTTAACATTGTCATTATGGGGTATTGTGTGTAGAATTTTGAGAAAATAAATTCATTTAATCCAATTTGGACTAAGGCTGCAACATTAAAAAGTGAAGCGCTATCAATACTTTCCTGATGCACTGTATGAACAATCTAACAATAATTTAATAGAAATTAAGAAAGAATTTAGAACAAAGTTCAATTTATTTTACCTGTTTCATTAATCTAAATAAATAAAATGTATCCCAAATAAACATATTTATGCTGAATGCTTAAAGTATACAAATAAAAATAGAGAAAAAACTTCTCAGTAGAGTAAAACTACTTGTCTACTTTAAACAAATGCAAATTACTATGAACAAAAAGAGAAGTAAAAAAATCCTCTGCCATTTTTCCATTTTCGTTGTTGTGCTTCTGTATAGCTATGATCATTTTAGCATACAATATGAAATATGCAGTTGCTGTGTGGTCCATCTGAAGCTGATTGACTAGTCTTCATATTATTATCTGAAATGAGAGCCGCTGTCCTGTAGATACATGCGTCATCTCATCTCATAATCACTTCAATATGATACACGGCTTATTATTAGGAGACACAGGCACCATATGAGCCAGGAAACATTTCGAATTTACTCCATCAGACAGAAGCTTTGGATGAGGGTTGTACTATAGAGATGATTCGCTGTTTTGGAGGTGTAATGAAGGCAGAACGAATGCAGTAATTCTGATGACTGGTTAACCAGGCTTCAGGGTTGAACAAGGGCAGCTGTTTGCAGCCATTGGATGATGAGATGGATGACATCATCAGTGCAAACAGTTCATGAGATGCACATGTTGCAATTATATAGACATACAGTTGCAGACAATTAAACACACACATACACACACACACACACACACACACACACAAACAGCTGCTTCTGTACACTAATAACTGCAATACATGTAGATTCATGACTTGAATGTAGTGATTTGTATTTTAAAAGACTGAAATTCAGTGTTTATTATTCTCGTTAATAGTTATTGTCTCATAAAATTTTATTAATTTGCAATTAAATAATAAAATATGTTTTTGACCGTTAAGTTTGTTCTCTGTTTACAATAATATATAGTATATCAGAGTAAAAGAAATGGATTGTAATGCCATTAATTCATTTAAGTTTTATTAACATTAAAGCCATTATAAGCTTTTTAATATTTCACTGTCATTCACTCCCAGTTCAAGTCCACCGCCAGCAAAACTGTTTGTGTTTTGGGCCTAATGGCCATGATGGCAGACGATCCGGAACATCCTGACGTCTTCCTGCTGACCGACTCTGAGCACGGTGAGACAGCTAATCACAAGCCTCTTACTTTGACACATTTAACCAATGACAAGCCACACACTCTGACACTCATCCAATCACAAGCCACAAACTCTGACACACTAAACAAGGGGGCCCCAATCTCGGTCCTGGAGGGTTTAGCTCCGACTTGCTTCAACACACCTGCATGGATGTTTCAAGTATACCTAGTAAGACCTTGATTAGCTTGTTCAGGTGTGTTTGATTAGGGTTGGAGCTAAAATCTGCAGGACACCGGCCCTCCAGGAACAAGTTTGGTGACCACTGGACTAAACTAATCGCAAGCCACACACTCAACCAAACACAAGCTACCCACTCAACAAACTACAAGCATGCACACTCTGACACACTCAACCAATCACAAGCCGCACAATCCAACACACTCAACCAATCACAAGCAGCACACTTCAACACACTCAACCAATCACAAGCAGTACACTCTGACATACTCAACCAATTACAAGGCGCATACTCTGAAATATTCTACCAATCACAAGCAGTACACTCCAACACATTCAGCCAATCACAAGCAGCACACTCCAACACACTCAACCAATCACAAGCCACACACTGCAACACACTCAACCATTCACAAGCAGCACACTCCAACACACTCAACCAATCACAAGCCATACACTCCGACACACTCAACCAATCACAAGCTGTACACTCTGACACAACCAATTTCAAGCCGCACACTCTGAAACACTCACCAATCACAAGCAGCAAACTCCAACACACTCAACAAATCACAAGCCACACACTCTGACGCACTCAACCAATCACAAGCCGCACACTCTGACACACTTCACCAATCACAAGCCGCACACTCTGAAACACTCAACCAATCACAAGCCACACACTCTGAAACATTCAACCAATAACTAGCAGCTAACTCTGACACTCCACCAATCACAAGCAGCACACTCAAACACACTCAATGCACACTCCGACACACTCAACCAATCACAAGCCACACACTCTGACACACTTC